TATATATAACTAGTTACTATCTGGACCCATAGCGCTGCATACCTATTATTATTTACAAGCAGTGTCTATAGTGCAGCAGCTGTAATATCCATTAATTCTCTAAAACTACCCATAAGCGCAGATTTGACATTATTTCCCGTTGCCCTATTGCCTTTGCCAGCACTGACTGGAATGCTGACATGTTCTCCATCTCATGTGTGTACAGGTACTCTACATATGTCAAGCAGTGTACATCTGGTGGTTGTGACCTGGGGTTAGCATACAGCTAAGTCCAAACCTCCCAATGTACCAGAATAAAAATCCTGTAATGTACGATTAATAAAATAGATTTTTTACTTACTGTAAAATCGGGAGCACATTAAAGGACACAGGCCTCTCCCCTCGGTTGTTATAATCCACACCTACTATTGCCTGATAACAAAGTGTGGCATGATAGGGGTAGCAGGGTTATACTGGATTGTCCTACAGCTTTGTGTTGCCAGTGTCCTGTAAGTAGCAGCATAAACCAACCCATAACCATGTACGCCAAGAAAAGGATTTTACTGCAAATTTAAAATAAATCTATTATATAGTAAATGTCAACTTAAAGTGACATTAAACCCTCAGATTTTTTAACATAAAACAATACTGTAATGTGTGCCTTACTGTAATTCATGGTTGTTTCCCTTCTCTTTGCTGCCCTTCCTTTTAAATCTGTATCTGTTCTCATGCTCTGCAGAACTTCTGTTTTGCAGCAGACTGCCTTGTCTCAGGAATGGATACACGGTGTCTGTGTATACGTTTGTATAGGCTTGTAACCTGAGCCAGCACTACAGGAAGAGGCCCTGAGCTGAAAAGGGAAGTTCTCCCCAAGCATGAGAAGACATGAGGATTTAAAAGGAAGAGCAGCAAAGAGAAGGGAAACTACCATGGATTACAGTAAGGCACACATTACAGTATTGGTTTATGTTAAAAAATCTGAGGGTTTAATGTCACCGAGTGTGTGTGTGTGTATATAATTTATTTATTTTTACAATGTGGTGGTGTTTTTTCAGTACTAACTATTAATAAGCTATGTTTCTTTTGGCAGCGCGCCGATGCCCTACCTCATTGGTATACACTCGAGCCTAATGGAGGTATGTTATTTTTTTTTCAGTATTATTACCTGTATCTAATAAACTTTCTTTTATACATTGACTGAATATTTCAGATTTTACTTAGCAAGTAGACATGAAAACGGAACTATAACAATTTTACCAAAGTTTAAAATCTGATATGTGATATTATTTTCAGGGCCGCGCAGGGTCCATTTCTCAGGCTTAGTATGACATTATACTGAGCCGGCAGAAGGGAACCTGCGGGCTCCCGAAATGTTGCCATTCTTGTAACTATATGTGTCAATAAAAAACGTTCGCTTTAACACAATACTTCAGTGTGTTACTTATGTTTCTCCCAGTTGTAACCCTATCACACAGGGTTCTGATGGAGACTACAATTGGCAGTTTCAATACACAATATGCGGAAATAGTCTAATTGTTACCAACCAGGAATACTGCCCTGAGAAATGCCATTTAGTCAATGTTGAAGAGCATGTTGAGAGCAAATGCCTGCAAAGAGGCTGCATTAGATCAGCAGCCCTGAGTTGCAACAAAGGATAAAGAAAAATTTAAAACAAGCATTTTTTTTTAAATGGCTATTGTTTATGATACACAGTGTGATAGGAAACTACATATTAATCGGTCAGGGATTAGAGCTACTTTAAAATAAATGTATATTGGATGGTAATATAGCCTCTGCTGCTTATGTGGAAATTCGAATGGCTGCATTTCTCCTTGTACTTGGTCATTTTACAGCGATTTCTGTTAAAGGTGATGCCATCAAACATTCTCCCTGGTGTTTCTGTATGGTGCAGTGGCTTGCAAAAGTTTTCACCCGCTTGGCATTTTTCCTATTTTGTTGCATTACCACCTGAGATTGAAATGGATTTTTGGGTGTTTGTATCATTTGATTTACACAACATGCACACCACATTGAAGATGCAAAATATTTTTTATTGTCATTCAAACAAGAAATATGACAAAAAAGCCCCCATAAAATTTGAGCATGCATAACTATTCACCCCCATGTCAATACTTTGCACAGCCAATTACAGCTGCAAGTCTTTTGGGTTACGTCTCTATAAGCTAGGCACATCTAGCCACTGGGATTCTTCAAGGCAAAACTGCTCCTGCACCTTCAAGTTGGATGTGTTTCACTGGTGTACAGCAATCTTTAAGTTATGCCACATAGTCTCAATTAGATTGAGGTCTGGGCTATGACTCTCTGGGCTATGACTAGGCCATTCCAAAACATTTAAATGTTTCCCTTTAAACCACTCAAGTGGTGCTTTAGCCGTATGCTTAGGGTCATTGTCCTGCTGGAACTTGAACCTCTGTCCCAGTCTCAAATCTCTCGCAGATTAAAACATGTTTCACTAAAAAATTTCCCTGTATTTAGCGCCATCTATTATTCCTTCAATTCTGACCAGTTTGCCAGTCCCTGCAGATGAAAAACTTCCCTGCAGCATGATGCTGCCACCACCATACTGCACTGTGGGCATGGTGATCTCGGGGTGATGAGAGGTTTTGGGTTTGCGCCAGACATAGCAATTTCCGTGAACCCTAAAAAGCTCAATTTTAGTGTTATGTAACCAGAGTACCTTCTTCCATATGTTTGGGGAGTATCCCACATGCCCTTTGGTAAACAGCAAAATTGTTTGCTAATTTTTTTAATGTAAGCAATGGCTATTTTGAAGGCCAGCTCTGTGAAGTGTATGGGTTAAAGTGGTCCTATGGACAGATACTCCAATCTCTGCTGTGGAGCTTTGTAGCTCCCTCAGGGTTATCTTTGGTCTGTTTGTTGCCACTTTGATTAATGCCCTCCTTTCCAGGTCTGTGAGTTTTTGTGGAAGGCCTTCACTTGGCAGGTTTGCTGTGAGACCATATTTTTTCAATTTTCTACATAGTTACATAGTATTTAAGGTTGAATAAAGACATAAGTCCATCAAGTCCAACCTATTGAGTGTATGTATTTATGAGCAGGTGTGTGCGTGTTTATGAGTCCATGTGTGATTTTTCTCCTAGCAGTACCTGTACCCCTTTATGTTACGGTCTCCAAGGAACTCATCCAGGAGTTTCTTGAATGCTTCAACACTCTTAGCTGAAATCACTTCCTGCGGCAGCGAGTTCCAGACCCTAACCGCTCTAACTGTGAAGAACACCTTGCGCCCTGTATGTTGACATTTTTTTTCCACCGATTTTTGGTTGTGCCCTCTGGTCTTTGTTACGGAGCTAACCATAAACCGTTTGTTACTAAGGTTGCTGTCACCCTTGAATAGTTTATACATGAAAATCATGCCCCCCCCCCTTAATCTCCTAACCTCCAACAAGAACATATTTAATTTTAACAACCTTGTTTCATAGTTCAGATCCTCGAACCCCTTAATGAGTTTGGTTGCCCTCCTCTGGACTTTTTCCAGCTCAAGGACATCCTTTCTGAGTATCAGGGACCAAAACTGGACCGCATACTCCAGATGTGGCCGAACCAGTAATCTGTAAAGTGGCTCAATTATAGACTTGTCCCTGCAAGACATTCCCTTCTTAATGCAAGACAGGACTCTGCTTGCTTTGTTTACAGCAGCCTGGCACTGCGCGCTGTTATTCAATCTGCGGTCTATAATGACCCCCAAATCCTTCTCCGTTTCCGACTTCCCTAGTGGCACACCCATAAGTGTATAGTCATTTTGCCTATTTTTAACTCCAAGGTGCATTACTGTACATTTATCGACATTGAATCTCATCTGCAATACAGTTGCCCATTCCCCGATTATATCCAGGTCCTCCTGTAGTGTTATAATGTCTAAATCTGTGTCCACTAACCTCCCAATTTTCGTTTCAGCAGCAAACACTGAGACATGACTTCTCACTCCCTCCCCTATATCATTAATAAATAGGTTAAAAAGCTTGGGACCAGGCACCGAACCCTGGGGCACGCCACTCATGACCTCCGCCCAGTCTGAGAAGGTGCCATTAACTGATACTCTTTGTGCACATTCTTGTAGCCAGTTCTCTATCCACGTGCACACTAATTCATCTATGCCCATAGCCCTTGGGTTTTATAACAAGCGTTTATGTGGTACCGTATAAAACGCTTTGGCAAAGTCCAGATATACTACGTCCACCGGCCTCCCCCCATCCAGATCTCTACTTACCTCTTCGTAAAAGGAACGAGAGCAAGACAGAGCTCCTTCCAGAATTTAGAGGTGAACTGGACCCCACGATCCGATACAATATTGCTGGGGACCCCATGGAGGCGTATGATCTCCTTGATAAAAGCCTGAGCTGTTTGTGGGGCTGAAGGAGTGCCAATCATAGGACTAAAATGAGCCATTTTATTAAGGCGGTCCACAACAACAAATAACCCATCAGAGGGTGGTAGCTCCACTATGTAATCCATGCTGATCTGTTCCCAGGGTCTGGAGGGAACAGGCAGGGGGCGGTAGGAGACCCCATGATTTATTCTTTTCCGTTTTGCTTTGATTGCATACCGGGCAAGAATTGATGTCGTGGCAGTCCGCCTTGAGGGTAGGCCACCAAAAGGTTCGCAAAAGCAGATCGGTTGTTTTTGTCAGCCCTGCTAATTTGTTGTCATGGCAGAGTTTGAGCACTGGAACTCTCAGTTGAAGGGGTACAGCATGGTCATGGAAGAAAAGTCCGTCCTATTCTTGCAGATGTTCTCTTGAGGGCAGCTGGTCTAGAGAGGAGGCCAATTTATTCCTGGGCAAGAGGTCATCCGTAAGTAGGAGGAAATTATAGGCAGGGAGTATCGCATCCGTCGTTGGTGAGTTATCTGATGTGGGATACATGCGGTATAGCATCAGGTTTACAATTCTTGGATCCCTGATATTACGTGATATGCATTTGGAATCGGGTGAAGATCCTCCCAAATGGTATTGCAGAACCCGGAAGAAGCTCAATGGGGCAATCATACAGCCGGTGAGGCGGTAGGGATTCAGCCCCCTTCTTGTCGAGGACGCCCAAGAAGTCTCTGTAAGCCTGGAGGAGAAGAGTGTTGTCATCTGTGGAAAGGGGTTGAACCGTCAAACAGGCTCCTTGTGGGAAACAGAGGTGTAAGCAATAAAATTACGGAATTGACCCACAAGATAACCACTTTAGAACGAGCACATAAACAATCCCTGGTAGAAGCTCTTCTCCAGGAACTATCCGAACCACGTGAAGAACTACGTAAGGTTTTGCAAGTTAATTATATTAGATCTGTGAACTATCTGTCCCAACAGACCTATGAATCTTGAAATAAACCAGGTAGGCGACTGGCCCGTCTTTTACGTGCCCGCCAAAATGTTGGTTTTATCCCTAAAATCAAGACTGTGACCGATTCTGTTACGCACTCCACGAAGAGATAACCCAATCTTTCAGGGAATTTTATTCTAAATTATATAATGTTAGACCTAATCCCTCTAAACAATTTAAAAAACGACATGACGATCTAATCCGTAAGTACCTGGCTAATCTCTCCCGCCCTCAAATTGTCCAGACTACAATGATGTCCCTCGAAGCCCCAATATCTGAACAAGAACTGAATGAGGCTATAATGACTTCACCGACGGGGAAAAGCCCCGGCCCAGATGGGTTTTCATTAAAATATTACAAAACCTTTCAAACTACACTTTTACCCTATTTATGCACATACCTAAACACTTTCCCCACTGGTAGACCCCCTGACCCTGCTACACTACACGCTCATATTTCAGTCTTTCCTAAACCAACTGTCTGTAGCAGCTACAGGCCTATCTCTTTATTAAATTTTTGTATTTTTTTTTAAGCCCGTGGACGTGCGTCTAAACAAACTTCCCCCTGTGAACAAAAAAAGTGAACCGTGAAATCACAGCACACAAAAACGTGCACAAGGGTGCAAGGTCCTTCAATAAAGAAGGGACCCATTTCCCGACCCCCCGGGGCGCAAGGCTCCTGACAGGGGTTTAGATACTTTGGTCCACCACCCCGAAGGCCGATGGACCATTTCCTTTGGGGACCTGCCGAAACAGGTCCCCCATAGTACTTGGCAAGTGGGCTCTCCC